GATCGAACCCCGGCCGCCTGCGTGGAAATCCCAAGTGTTAACCACTCAACCAATCCGCCAACGGGTTTACCAGTTGTTGCCATTCCCCTTAATGTTGAACGTTAAGCAGGGAATAACAACTACCATATGGACTTTGGTATGTCCCGGCCTGGGGACAGAACCCATTACCTTCCTCACCTGGGCGAACGCTCAACCATCAAGCCAAAAGTGAGGTGTTGCCAAGCAAGGCGCTAGGAAATATTGACAAGGCGCTAGGAAATAAAAGGTAGTTAGAAGAAGAAAGAAAGATAAAGATCCCAAATATTGCAATGGGCGCAGCAAATTTATTTTGGTCGCTTTTGTGTCCCCCTTAATAGAGGACACCAAAGCAAATTCCCAATTCTGCAGGGGGTGTGTGTGTCCCACATTAATCGCCTCCTAAGATACATGTACATGCAGTGGGTAACAGCAGGTGTATTATTTTCCCTATCCCCCACCTGCAGGGGTGTGATAGTTCTGTCTTTCATTGAGTAATTCCGCTAGTATATATTGTCCGAGTGCTATTGCAGAAGGTCATTTTGCTACACATGCCACACTTAATGATAATATGCAGCTAAAGCAGTCAGCTATAGGGGAGATCACTCTAAAGAGTTTAAAGCCATTTACGACAGACCAGGCAACTATATAGGTACTCATTCAAGGCGTTGGACCCAGAGTTTGGCACTGTCAAGGAAGAGGTAGGTCATTTGTGTCAAAGTATCTCCTTAAATAGAAATGTAACAGCAATTTGTATTGGCTGAATTGAATCACATGTTTGCGAAAATTGAATTTCTTCAAATAAATCATCTTAGGTCTTTCGTCGCAAAAGTATTATTAGTGACTGATAGTTTCAAAATGAATAAAATCATCGCCATCAGATAAAATATAGGGATTTAAAACCCAACTGCAGACGATGAAGTGTAGTTCATTTTTGGTATACAACATCTATCACCAGATTTACAAGTTACAGTCACCTGTGTGTGTGTTACGTCCATCTCGTAAACATTCCTACATTCAATGGTGAACCGTCGACACAGTGTTAACGAACAACAATGGACAATCGAACAAGGTCATCACTATCTCGCAATGAGTTTTCATTAAAACATTTTTATTTTCTCTCTGACATGTGATTCTTGTCATCTGTAGTTTTACTGGCCGTATGACTGCAGACCTACGTGTGTGCTCAGTGTGACACATCAACTCATAAAAGTGTGAGGGCGTATATCTTCATAATTGTGACATCATCGGTCTAATTTTTTAGCGTGAAATATTGTATATAATGAGTAATTTAAAGTATATTGTGAATCACTCACACTAGTACACGTATGTGTTATTATGTGATTGGTGTGTATACCGCGGCAAATACATGCTTTGTCCTCCAAAATGAATTTGAATAATTTTAAAAATGTTTTGTTTGCTGGATTGAAATAATTGAGATCCTGGCGACTTCATTCATTGATGAGAAACTTTATTATTTTAAATTTCGTGTCGTATAAAACAGGCTTGATATACATTGGATAACTTTTGCATAGTCCCCTTGTATGTTTGATGAAATTACAAATATGTTCACACATAAAACATCATATTTACTACAGATACATAAATATTAATATGCTAACACAATATAGATTCGTTAGAAGCGACCTATTCTTCTTTAAAAGTATTTTTCTAAACGATATGAGCATTTTTTTTTTAAAAAAAAACAAAAACGTTTTGCTTTAAGTTGTTAATAGATTCGTTCACATAGATCTATATAAACGTAAACCAATCATTTTACAGTTATTTAAAACCCATTGCTCTCACACTTTCCAGCAATAATCCAACGCTACAACAGCTGAACTCAGATGACCTCAGAATTAAATACTCCTTCAGTATCTTCTTATTCTGCATCTCCATACCGCAATGACCCTGCTAGACATGTTATAACTGGTGATCTACATAGTGTTCCATACGACATACAGCTTTACATGAAGTAATCAAAAATGTTCTGCTCAGGAAACTGATAGATTATGTATAAGACTACGTCAATCAATGGGCTAAAATATTTTGAGACTATATAACCCTGCCAAATTCAGTTGGCATTCATATAGACTATGAATACCATTGACTTTTCGTTGACGTCATCATTATAATGACATCATAATGTTACGTTGGATACCACTGACCCTCCCTGGGCGATGGCTGTTCTATTAATTGAACAAGCATACACGATTCATACATTATTTAAACTAAATGCTGAATAATAATAAGTGGAATATAACTTCCTATGAGATGAACAGATTCCAAAAAATGGTAAATATAAGTACTGAACTGATATCAGTTTGTATTCATAGGCAATATGAATTCCAACTGGAAAAAGGCAAATTCAATGAATTTCGCTAGCAGTTAAATGCCCAAATAAAAATCGGTATGAAAAAATATCAGAAAATGAAAAAAAAAGAAGGTTTTTTTATATGCATAAAGTATTAATAATCATTAGCGTCTTTGTGTCTTTCTGACATTGTGCTCTATATCTTTCTGTTTTAAAACTGGCATGTACGTTATCTGTATGAATGTAGGTCAATTTGTTTGTTCAGTGTGATAGCTGTGGGTATGATGGTATGTGAGAGCGTTTGTGACATCACCGTTCTAATTTCTGACCCTTATGTATATTGTGCAATTAAACACATATTGCGAAATACATGCAGCCGCTTCACCTAATAGGAAAACACCACTACCTGCGTTGGTGTTTAAACATGCCCAAATATAGGTTTTGTCCTTCAGAGTGAGTTTTCATGTTAATTGTATAATCTTAAAAAGCATACAGTATGTCCTCGAGATCGTGGCAGAAATATTTAGTGATGATCAATAGGTATATATATTTTTTCAATTTCGTTTTGCAGAAAACAATCATGATGACTCACAACTCTAGATAGGAATCATAAGACATCATTTTCTGGATTTGTTTAGTGTGATTCCATCTTTTGCATGAATCAAGGTTTGTCTAATATAATTAGATCATACAAAGTTGATATGCTCTATTTATGAAGGGTCAAAACTATCGAGAGACTACAGCTATGAATTGGATAATAGATTTCAAGAAACTGATGAACTATGTGAAAGACTACGCTTGACGAGGTGCGAAACAAGAGTAGGCTGAATGTGTGTACTTCCGGAGTGGGTTAACTGACCATTGTAATTCTTTATTCTGATGTCCGAACCACAATATTACAACTCCTGCTTGCAAATAGAATGAATTTAATTTTCAAATTTTCCCGAGGACAAAATATTGGTTCTGCTTCTGCGTTACAGTCGTTCCTAAAAATATCATTTTATAAATATAATGCTTCGTTTGTATTATATTCCGAAACACTACAACAATCCTTACAAAAACCGTCGTGTTGTTTGATCTGACCGTTTAATCATGCTTACGTTCCTATTTCGACAATGTATAATCCAGAAGCTGAATTTATCTATGGAATTTAGATTTTGAAGAACTAAAGAGGTCTTTTGATCAATAATGATTTTTAAATTAATTATACTACCATACCTTCATAGGGATGCAGACTTCTCTTATATAGGGATATTACCTTTTCATGGAAGGTGGACGGAAATATTGATATGCGGTTTTGAACTATTTTAGGTCGTATTTGTGAAAAACACGACAAAAGTCAAGATGGAATGACCTGAGGATAAACTTGTCTCCATAGGGTCTGAATTTATTAAATAAGTTATCAGGACTGATAACAAAAACCTTTCAAAGACCTTTAATTCCACATTCAGTCTGCCTTACTGATTTGTTGACAATGTCCCGATTCTCTCTTTGAGGACTTAACATTACTTGTATTTGACCTAGATTTCTATGGCGAGCATCATCGTTGTGTTTTTGTTACAAGCTGTTTCATTATCTGCTGATTTTACTCTCATGAGACCAGATTGATCAAGTGCCTTTTAATACACTTATTTCTACCTCCATTTCGGTGATATAAATGTTTATTTCCTTTTGTTTACTGCATTACGATAGTAAATCTCTGATATAGAGGGTCAACTATTAGTGTAAACATGTTTTGGTGATTATTTTGCATTTTTTTTCTCAACGGGCAACTGTCGCATGATTCGTTTTATTTTTATTCAAGTTATTCAATATTGTGACGTCGTGACGTAAAATTTAATAGTAATGGCAATATGACAACGGGCGCCAAGAGAGATACTGCAAAGAGCAAAGGAGAAACACACAGACTTAGCAGGGAGGCTACGTCATGGCAAAAGGTGTGTTTACAAAATTGCCATAGACGTTACGTGTGTCTAGTTACAAAATCATACATAGCCGATTGATAACTTTACTCTCAACGTCTGTAAAGTGGACTTGATACTTGCATACCCTATTTCCGTTGCTCGTCAGGACAATAAATCAATATATATATATCTCAACAGACGATAAAGGATACAGGTAGTGAAAGACAGGGGCTGGTGAGATTTGAAAAGTAATTAATTCTAGAAAACTATCAGTATTCAAAGTAGCATGGTTGTTCATAGCAGTAGGTATAAGGAAATGCATATTATCGACAGGTGAAAATATTATGGAAACTAAAACATCACCAGCCCTCCACCACTGGGTCAAGGGTTCGAGACCTATACGTGAAGCTGGCACCAGGTACTCGCCGCAGGTCGGTGTTTTTTCTCCGGGAACTACGGTTTTTCTCTTCTATCAAAACCTGGCACGTTTTTAAATGACCATATTTGTTAATAGGACGTAAAATACAAACAAACTCGTCTTATGCTGAAACAATGTATAGCGATACAGTCTTTCTAAACAGGCATGGACTTATAATTACGTAGTCAAATACTACTCGGAACACCAATCAAGATGACACGTGCGTGTTTTGAATATAATAAATAATAAATTATATAATACACTTACTTATTTATTTATTCCTGAACAGAAGGATGTAAATGACTATCCCGTATGCACATCCGTTTAGAATTGTATCATAAGTATTCACCAACACGACATCAGGTGAAGGAAATATTTGCGAGTTGAAACTGGTACTTTTTAAGACACATATTGTCACACCTTCCTGTGTTTTGTAGCCTTAAAAGCAAAATACATCGGTATTTGGTGTTTATTTTACGGTGAAGTAAAACATGTCTCAATTCGTCGGTAGATGGAGAGCGGAAGAAGTGTCTGGTCAGGTCCGAGGTTACGCTGAATTTATTGCTGTTTCGGGTAAGATACGAATCTTAAATATGTGAAACACATTTTAACGAACCCCATGGAGCTGAGAATTAAGTTTACTCCTGTTTAAACATGTCACGACTGCTGCATCTAACACTTTTAAGAGGGGAAGGGGATCGCACCTTTTTGTGGTTGTAAAGTTATTTCGTAATTTTTGATGTATTTTCTAAATTTTGACCTCGAATGTTTAATTAATAATACAATTTATCACATAATGTACTGTGTTATCCAGTGGATGTACCCGCGTCATATTTGTTTGCGTATTAACCCACGTAATATGACCTATCAGCCCTGTGGTTGGTTGTAAGTTTCAATTGTTTCAATTATGACGTCACGCCTAGGACAAGCACATGACGTTACTGACTTATGCAAACGAGTTTAAATGGCGGTTTTTTACATTTCAAGGTTGCAAAAAAAATGTCGTTTTACACGAATAAATGCCACAAATCTTGATTATGTGATAAAAAGGATCTTACACTTGTTTTCATTTCATATGAAATATATGAAACTCGTCACGAATTTCCTAAATCTCATATGAAATGGAAACTCATTTAATTACAAGAATCGTTACATTGTATCAACAATACTTACCACCAACTCACTTTGTTATTATATTTAAACGTTTTAATTATGGTGATGGCTTATTATTTTTAATATCCTATTTCATTTTAGTCATCGTCGAAATAAAAGGGTTCCGCTCTATATCTTCACCCGTGAAAGATGTTATGACGAAATCGAAGGCTCGTATCGGGCCATCTTGCGGATGATACGTATGCGTGTTGATTAGTCTAGAAACTATGTCGTCGAAGTTTAAGATGCTTAAATAAAAAGAATGACATGGAAAGCGCAATTGTAAATTTGACCGGCTTTGATATTGATGGTGTGTTCAAAGGACAGATATCCACCTAGCGATTGGTCAGTTTTTGATGTTATTCAAGGTTGCGAACACCTTTGCGCTAGGGAAAATGCTCTTCTTCCAGAAGACCTGTGATTGTGCCATATTGTTGTAGTCGTTCGTAATTATTGCTAAAAACAGTTTTGATCATATCATATAATGCTAAATGATAGATGACGAACGTTTATATGCATGTCCGCAATTTATTTTAAAGATATGGTTCTTTTTTCATAAACGATTTTATCAAAGATATATCCATGCCGGAAAATGCAGTTTTCAATGCATATTTACAGTTATAGGCAGTGATACAGGGGTCCTTTAGGGGACATTAAGACGGAGTTCGTAAATCTCCAAATGTTATGAATACCGTCTCACAAATATATCAGCTATAAAGTACTACTTCAGTGTTTGACATTCAAGTACTTAAGGTTTTTTACGCCATCCCCTTCTGTTTCAGCAGTACTTTAAACCAATTGGGAATTCCGCCTTTTTGGCCCCTAGCATCACTATGAGTCCCAGAAGGACAAAGCAGTTGTATGGTGAAGTGTTATTCATTTTTGGTTAATTTTATCTATTAAATGTATCAAATTTTAAATGTCTAGTAAAACGTGTGTGTGTCGTAGGCTCATCTTCCAAACTATGCCTTATAATTAATATTGAGACGTGTCTACTTTCAGATGTACCGGTCAACGTTCAAGAGATGGTAAAGGGTAAATTCGCCATACTAGAACTATCTCGACAAGGGAATACGTGGATGTCGAAGTCCAGTCTAGAGGGAATGCCTGTGAGGATCCATGAATTCCAACTAGGGCAAGAAGTTGAATCGGAAAGAATTGACGGCACAATTCAGAATGTAAGTACGTCTTGGTAACTGATAAAAGACAATTGATTTTTCGTAGCCGTTGTTACCGTAGTCTGTCATGCCGATTGCTAGAAACTACAATTTGTAGAAACGTTAGCTTGTATTAAAATGATGCGCGCGACAACGGAAGTGGCTTGTTTGTGATGATGTCTAAATGCTATTTATTTTAAAATCCTTACAAATGCTACATTGTACGTGCCGGGGGAAGGGGTCATGTGTACAATTGTACGCTTTTCTATATTTTTCAGTTCACGAATACCATTGAAGGAGATACGTGGATAGAGGAAATCAAGCCAGTATCCGACCCGAGTGGAAATTCGACTCTGACCAAGCGGACAGTCAGTGGGGATGTGATGGACGTAGTAAGTATTTGATCATATCGTTGCGTGTTCGACACTTTTGTAGGTGCATGAATACAGCGGAACCCCGTTGGTCAGGACGTTTTCTGCTCTGATCACAAATCGATACTGGTTAATCGGGATGTTTTGTTATTGGAATCCTATGTGTGCAGAAACGTAAAGGGGGTTTTCATCGGATTATAGTTAAATGTCAGATAGTTGAATTAAAGTAATGCGTCAGAGTCTTGATAATCAGCAACCACTCTCGTTCCTAGTAGCCTAGTCATCCATGTTCCCGGCAGAGAGTCCAGCCCTCCTCGTTATCCTTATTCACCGTATATAACCCAGCCTCCGTCGCTCGAGTGGTCTAGTCATCCTTCCCAGTATATAATCCAGCCATCATTTTCCTGGTTGTCTACCCATCCTTTCCGAGTAGATATTTCAGTCATCCTCACTCCTTGAAGTGTAGTCATATCCATCTGAAGTATACAATCCAGTCAGCCTCGCTCTCAGTACTGAACTTATCCTCGTCTCCAGTTTACATTGTACAATCCAGCCAGCCTCGATCTCAGTAGTCATCCTCGTCTCCAGTATACATTCCAGCCAGCCTCACTCCCAGTACTGTAGTCATCTTCGTCTCCAGTATACATTCCAGCCAGCCTCACTACCAGTATTGTAGTCATCCTCGTCTCCAGTATACATTCCAGCCAGTCTCACTCCCAGTCCTGTAGTCATCCTCGTCTCCAGTATACCTTCCAGCCAGTCTCACTCCCAGTCCTGTAGTCATCCTCGTCTCCAGTATACTTTCCAGCCAGTCTCACTCCCAGTACTGTAGTCATCCTCGTCCCCAGTATACATCCCAGCCAGTCTCACTCCCAGTCCTGTAGTCATCCTCGTCTCCAGTATACTTTCCAGCCAGTCTCACTCCCAGTCCTGTAGTCATCCTCGTCTCCAGTATACATTCCAGCCAGTCTCACTCCCAGTACTGTAGTCATCCTCGTCTCCTGTATACATTCCAGCCAGCCTCACTCCCAGTACTGTAGTCATCTTCCTCTCGGCCACCCTTGTTTCCGGTAGTCTAGCCACCCTTGTTCCAAGTATAGATAATACAGACATCCTCGATTTCCATCCGAAGATATCTTGAACATTTTTATATCATCTGTCACCGCTTTAAGCACTGGATTGCACAATTGGACCAGGACACTTCCGTCGACCAGGTAGCTAATAGCTGAAACTCGGAACACTATCGTTGAATGTATTTTTTGTTTAATTCATATTAAGTTGTCAATTCCCATCAAAGTCCCGCGAGATGTGGTTTTCTTTTAAGATTTGATTTATCAAAGTAAACTTCATGTCGCTAGTTTCCAATCCTTAGTTATAGATGTGGGCAGTGGTACGTGGACCCTTAATGATTTATCGCTATCGTCTGATTTACCGACAATTGTTGAGTATGATGCATTCGCTACTCACAGCCAGCGCTACAGTGTTCATCCTAGGCAATAACGCCTTCTCATTATCTTCATTTCAGAACGTGACCATCCTTGGACAAGGAGCCTCGATGTCATTTAGGATGCTAAGACTGTAAATAACCAATTATGGTGAAACAAATTATCGCTCTGAAGTTTTAAGTTTTACGTTTCGTACATTTACTCTGTTATCCGACCTGTCCGAACCCGTTGTCAAATGTGTGTAAGGATATTTGAGTGTGAACATGAATATACGTTATTTATTTGCAATATGTATATTTCCGTTCGATTGTTACGCATTACATTCAATGAACTGTAATGTATTGTATCGCTTTCTATTGTATTGTATTACGTTGTATATAGTGTTTACTTGTAAACTGTTACATGTATATGTGAGGAAAAGAACGACAGTAGTCATTATATTGTTTAAAATTCTCAAAACAGAGTTAAATCAAACGAAAGTACCGCACAGTAAGACATCATTAATGTACAATGTTAGGTTGTGCATGTAGAATATCATTAACGTAAACATAAATAGAAACCAAATTATATAAAACCACTCAAACGTTCCACCCGAAACAATGTCGGAACTAAGAGAGGAACCTTATTAATCCGGACTAGTAAGTCCGATAAAAAGTACGGATAACGAAGGTTTCGTAAAATGAAGTATTTGTTGATTCAATTCCGGATTAAAGAGTCAGTTAAAAAACTTTTGCTGGTTAAAAATATTCTTTCATCCCGTTGTACGTGGATATGAGGATCTTTACCCGAGAGGGAGATTCTTAATTGGCCAATCACAAGGCCTAAAGTTCAAACATGGTACAATGTAATACAGTACCTAACATACATTGACGTGGTGACATTAAATGTTCAATATGTATGTAGCATTGTAAGACCTGCTATCGGGTATCAAGTATTACGTACATACACGAATATTACAAGGCATGGTGATGTAGTTTTATCACTAATCATTTTGCAGCATATGTTCCTGTAAAATGTAATATATTAAGTTCACGTTAGAATTATATAGGAATTAATAGATGTAACCGATTTCTGTTCATATCGTCATGATGATATACCAAATAATAAAAAAAAATGTTGCTGTTTGAAGTATTAAATTGTATGCATCGTAATTCAGACTATATGATTGGAGCAGCCTTACGTCACCGGCAGACTATATGATTGGAGCAGCCTTACGTCACCGGATGTCTGATTCTTACGATGATTTAACGTTATTCGAGAAAAATGAAAATGAGCCAAATGCAGTCATAGAAAGTGACTCGGATCAATTTGTGTTATAACATACATATAATGAACTCAATTTGTTTAAATAGTGTTTGCGAAAGGACTTGCAGAGGGAATGTAAATATATGTTATTAGACGACGATGTAGATGTGTTATGTATTCCCTTCGCTGTTTTGGTTGTTCCTGTTCATTGTGTTGAAATACATTTGATTTTGTTGAAATAAAAACCATATTTATGAGACATATATGAGTCAGACATTTAATTCGTGTTTAAATTCGATATTAAAAATAATCCATAAAGAAATCTTCATGTAAATGCTACAGTTTGGCGTCACAAGAACAGCAGACAATGCGCCTTTAACTCGATCTGTTTGCATTCTCGTGTAGTGCAAACCTGCGTCTGAAGGCCTTTGAAACGAAATTGAACGGTATAGGCCTAGCCAATAATAGGACTTTAAACCCATTGAATTCCGTAATTATAAATAATGTATGGATTGATTCGTTGTAGGTATATTCTACTTTATGAACCTAACTACTATCCTTGAAACAGACTATGTCGACAATATTGAGTCATCGTCAGTGAAACTGAAGTAATTTGGATTCACAAAAACTGTACATGCATACGCTATTCAGTAAAAGATCGAGTGACTATGTAAGGCAATCGATAGGCAGTTGGTTTTGTTTTGTTTTATTTAGTTAATGTCCTATTAACAGCTAAGGTCGTTTAATGACGTGCCTTCATGTGTGTTGTGTATGCGTACATGTGTGTATGAGTGCCGGAACAGGGTATGTTGGTGTACTTGCCTTCTTGTGATAACGCAGATCTGATGCCGACTTTATAGTGCTACATGTACCTCACTGAAATACCGTGCCGAAGACAACCAGCACAGCATTTCGCCCGGTCACACTATAATGACAACGGGTGGATAAGCAGTTGAACACATCTCTATTACATTATAAACTATAGTTATTCTAGTAAAAAAAAAAAAAGTTCACCATACTCAGATACAGTTTTTGGCAGCGGTACGGGGATCTTTAGGATTGTCAGTTAATTGCTTATTCTAATACACTTGTACATTTCGTACATGTTATTTGGTTTACTCGACTTCAAAAAAACTGCATAATGCACAATTGCAACACTGTTTCGTTTAGATGCTGTAAAAGTACATATTTTAGCGGTATTCTTTTTTAGTGGTATTCTTATTTTAGCGCCTTTTGCTCTTTAGATATTGCGCTAGATTAGGATTGTGCTAATAGTTTTATTTGTCCAAGACAATTACCCAAGTATGGTGGCAAGTACTTGTGTCAGGGCGTCGTATTCAGAGGTTGGTCGAAAGAAAATGTTTGCACGCGTGACCTGTGACAGTTATGACCATATTCAGACTTACTGGAAAGGTGGACAGGGACATGTACCAATGTAAGATGCCAAGTGATCCGATTTCTACATTTTGGAGATACAACGGTAGAAATTAACTGAGCAAAGAGAGATATAGGAGGGCAATGTGAATGTCGGCATCTACATTTACAAACACATAAACAGGTTTATGTAGTTGTCATTATAGGCTGAGGGACTGATTGTATTTTTAATACTTTTAAAATTGGGCAGATGAATCACCTTGTCTTGAATCCATTTATCTGAAAAACTTTTTTATTTCCATGATCAAAGTCTTTTGCTTTCCTCCCAAATGCAATTAATGATTGTACTGTACAGTGATGAGCCACGACTATCATCGGTGGTCGGTTAGGCAACGCACTCGCCCTTCGCCTCCTGGTTCTCCTGTTTCCTCCTCATTTAGACCCTTCCCCTGCACGCTTACATTCTGGCTTACAAGAATGATTAAGGTTAAATCTTTGACTCACAGTTGTTGTTTTTAATACATTTGTTTCTCTATTATAAAAATATTCTTTCCTGACGATGAAATGACATTATATTTGATTATTTATTTATCATGACTTCGTTATTCCGAAATTGCAAACAAGCCTGAATATTCCGGATAATCGAGCTTCCGGTAAACAGTTATAAACACATTGAATTTTGTACACTTAGTTGTATCGATACAGTACCATTTATTGATTACTAATTATTGATATATGTTTTTCTAAACATCACATTATATCCAAGGCCTTTGTTGACTTTTAAGCCTTAGAGTGTATGGCTAGTACTCAGTCTCTGCAAACAGTTTCGTCAATGTCCACACTTGAAATGTAAACACACCCCGGTCAGTTAACAAGGTCAAGGTCGGTGGAAATTTACCGAAGCCGTCACTGCATTTAATGTCACCGAACTTATGGATCCCCATGATCTGATATTACAATGGAGGTATAATTGTACTGGTTATGTACGAAAGCTCAAAGGGGCTCGACATACATATTCATGAGGGTGTACTTTCTCTCTGAACATTTGAAAAAAGGATTTTAAGCAACAGTGCAAAAATAAGTTTGTTTCGTTTGCAACACGTGTCACTGTTTCAAATATACGAGACTGAAATAAGCCACAGCGTAAACTAAACGGTGTTTGTCTCAAAATTGACAAAGAAAACAATCTTTGTCATTTTGTTTTTTATTCTAACAATTACACAGAAAATAAACAATCTGGTTAATAAAAAGATGTCTTGAAAAAGAAATGACATAGAAGTGTTCTTTGTCTCAACAGTTATTTCTTTTCACAACAGTGAAACGTGTCACTACTGTGTAATGTGACATAACAGTGTCACGTGTCACAACAGTATAACGTGTCACTATATACAGTGACATGCGTTACAACAGTGTAACGTGTCACGACAGTATTATGTGACATAACAGAGTCACGTGTCACAACAGTATAACGTATCACTATATACAGTGACATGTGTTCCAACAGTGTAACGTGTCACGACAGTATTATGTGACATAACAGAGTCACGTGTCACAACAGTATAACGTGTCACTATATACATTGAAACGTGTTACAACAGTGTAACGTGTCACAGTCTAATGTGACAAAACAGCATTATGTGACACAATAGTGTTACGTGTGACAACAGTGCAATGTGTCACAACGGTGTTACGTGCCACAACAGTGTCATATGTCACAACAGTGTAATGTTTCACAACAGTGTAATGTGTCACAACAGTGTAATGTGTCACAACGGTGTAACGTGGTACAATAGTGTCATGGGTCACAACAGTGTTATGTGTCACAATATTGTCATGTGATACAACAGTGACATGTGTACCAACAGGCTTATATGACACAACGGTAATACGTCTGACAACAGTGTAATGGGTCACAACAGTGTTATGTGTCACAACAGTGGAATGTGTCACAATATTGTCATGTGTCACAACAGTGTTATGGGTCACAACAGTGGTATGTGTCACAACAGGGTTATGTGTCTCAACAGTGTCATGTGTCACAACAGTATAACGTGTCACTATATACATTGAAACGTGTTACAACAGTGTAACGTGTCACGACAGTATTATGGGACAGAACAGTGTCACGTGTCACAACAGTGTAACGCGTCACTATATACAGTGACATGTGTTCCAACAGTGTAACGTGTCACGACAGTATTATGTGACATAACAGTGTCGCGTGTCACAACAGTATAACGTGTCACTATATACAGTGACATGTGTTCCAACAGTGTAACGTGTCACGACAGTATTATGGGACAGAACAGTGTCACGTGTCACAACAGTATAACGTATCACTATATACAGTGACATGTGTTACAAGAGTTTAACGTGTCACGACAGTATTATGGGACAGAACAGTGTCACGTGTCACAACAGTGTAACGCGTCACTATATACAGTGACATGTGTTACACCCGTGTAACGTGTCACAGTCTAATGGGACAAAACAGCATTATGTGACACAATAGTGTTACGTGTGACAACAGTGCAATGTGTCACAACGGTGTTACGTGTGACAACAGTGTAATGTGTCACAACGGTGTAACGTGTCATGTGCCACAATAGTGTCATGTGTCCCAACAGTGTAATGTGTCACAACGGTGTAACGTGTCACGTGCCACAATAGTGTCGTGTGTCACAACAGTGTAATGTGTCACAACAGTGTAATGTGTCACAACAGTGTTATGTGACACAACAGTGTCATGTGTAGCAACAGGCTTATATGACACAACAGTGTAATGTGTTAAAACGGTGTAATGTGTCACGTGCCACAATAGTGTCTTGTGTCACAACAGTGTTATGTGTCATAATATTGTCATGTGTCACAACAGTGTTATGTGACACAACAGTGTCATGTGTACCAACAGGCTTATATGACACAACAGTGTAATGTGTTACAACGGTGTAATGTGTCACGTGCCACAATAGTGTCTTGTGTCACAACAGTGTTATGTGTCACAACAGTGTTATGTATCACAACAGGGTAACATGTCAAAGCAGTGTTATGTGTCAAAATATTGTCATGCGTCGGCTTCTGTGAATATTGTTCAGTCCAGGTCCGTAAATCAGGGAAAGACCTCACCTGAAGTCCATAATTGTATATTAGCCTCCTCTTTGTAACCTTCAAACCAAGCACACGTTGTGTAACATGACAAAGAAAGGTTATCTTGCCGCAAGTAGAGTTTAGGGCTACCTTCAGTATTGAACTTGTCATCGTCAATAAATCCTTATAAAAGTATTTATAATATAAATACTTTTTAAACAGCATAGATTTACGTACTTCATAGATGGAACTCCAACTTGATCCCAGTGTACACGATGAACAGTTAAAAATACCGTCTAATCCTTGTGATTTATGCTAAAAGTAAAGTAATTTCATGGAAATAGCATACTCTGTTCTGCTCAGCCATTGGAAAGCGACCCTACTTCCATCTCTCCCTCCTCCCCCAATGTTTATTTTGTGAAAGTAAAATCAGTAAACTGCCATGTATGAATTGACAGAGTGTCATGACAGTTTACACTTTTTATAAAATGTGTAAAATGCCCACTTATAATTTGACAAACTGTAAAACAGAACACTTTTTACCAATCTAAGTGTTTTGTCGGCCGCTATCGGCCATCGTAGCTATGCTACACAACAGGGTGGTGTGTCACAACAGTGTCATGTGTCACAACAGTACACTTTTTCACTATTGTCATGTGTCACAGCAGTGTAACGTCACTTGTGTAATGTGTCACAATAGTGTAATGTCACTATTGTCATGTGCCACAACAGTGTAATGTCACTGGTATGTGTCACAACAGTGGTATGTGTCACAACAGTGGTATGTGTCACAACAGTGT